GAAGGGACCTGAGAAGATCATCTAGTCCAACCCCCTGCCATGGCAGGAAAGAGTACTGGGGTCAAACGACCCCAGCAAGGTGTTCATCTAACCTCCTCTTAAAAACCCCCAGGGTAGGAGCCTGCACCACCTCTCTTGGAAGTTGGTTCCAGACCCTAGCGGCCCTGACCATGAAATAGCACCTCCTGATATCTAACCTAAACCTACCCTCTGCCAGCTTGTGACTGTTATTTCTGGTCACTCCTGGCGGTGATCGGGGGAACAGTGACTCCCCCAATGCCTGCTGATCCCCCCTGACCAGTTTATAATAGGCCACAAAATTAGGAACATCTGTCAACCTCTTTACTGACAAAATACCCCCATCCCAACCACAACCTCTCTGGATCATAACTATTTTGCATTATCATGACATCACTTATCATTATCATCAGGCTTTCTGGCTCATTTGCTTATTTCCTCCTTTCTCTCACCTCCATCCTAGAGTCTGGGCTTTCTGGGGCAAGGACGGAGCCTGATTTTATTTGGGGTATGCCTAGCACCATATGCTGCTGAAAATGAGCACCGGTACTCAGGGATGTCCTCATTATCAAATTCCATCTGTCCAATCCACGGCAAAGGAGGACAGAAGTAGCATCTTCCAGCAGTTAGGAACCTACTGCAGCAGGCCAGGAGCACTGGGCTGCATTATGCAAGTTACACTCTGATTTATAGGACACAAGAAGGAACCACAGTTTTCCAGATGTGAAAACCACATCCCTCCAAATTTTTATTTGCTTCCACTAGGTAACAGGATCTCACATTTGTCATGGGGGCTCTGGGACACAGAGGTAGGTGTGCAGGTGCATGTATGTGTGTGCATATAGAGAAGGGACTCTTAAGAGGGGATGGCAGATATCTGTAACCATCATTTGACCCATTTACTCAACAGTTTTGCAGGAAAGAGTCTTCTCAGCATGGACATCTTTTCACTACCAGGGTTAGAACATTTGGTAATAAAGTATTTAGGAAACTAATTCCCTGGGGAATTCAACACCTATGTATCTTTGAGGAGCTGAGTATTTATCTCAGATAAAAAGGAAGAGGTATTTAACTAAGGGGCTTGCAGTGACTCTAAATGGCAAGGCCACTATTCCCCCTCCAAAGCAAAGTGGGGGAATCATGATTGCATTAATAATTACTCAGAAAGATACACTGAGGCTGGAGTCTGTGCTTTGGTTCCTAATGGTTGAGCCTTGCATTGCTTGGTGCCAGGTACTTGTTCTGCAGTATTGCCAATGGTAGTAGGACCCGCTTCTCATTCAACAGAAGGGGAGAAGGTAATTTGAAAGTCAGGAAGACTAATATACTTCTATTAACAAGAGAACACTTGGGGAAAGGGAATGGTATCATCAGTGGAGGAACTCATCTGGAGAAAGGAGAGAAGGTCGCTGCCCCTTACTTGTGAAATCCTTCCTTTCCTTATTGAGCTGGCCAACAAATTGCCACTGTGCTCATGGCTGATGTGGGCTTCACAGCCTGCTGGTCTGAGATGCATCAAAGTAACTTCACAGAGACTTCCAATCAGATGGCAGATGGCAACAACTCTTAATTACCACAGTGCTGCCTGCTGGGTCTACTATCAGTGGAGAGCACTGAATTCAGGAATTTTGGTTCTTCTTCCCACCTGCCTCTTCCACTAAAGCTTAAACCAGCTGCCATTTATGGCACAGTGCAAGGCCTCTCAACTTTCAAAAGCTTTTACCCAAGGAGGTGATTGTGGTGTTAAATAGTGATGCCATTTTGATGATGTGTGTATGCTCAGGGGACAATCTGAAAGGAGCTCATTAAAGGTAGGGATCATGTTACCTGCAAAAAGAGGATTTCAGGATCATATTTTCCAAAAAGGATCCTGAAAATTGAAAACTCACAATTGTAAGTGCATGCAAACCCCAGGCAGCCGTGCCTGCAAAACTGTCTCTGCAGGGGCAAAATGGGCAAATGTGATTGTGCACCCATGTTTCTGAGCATAGCTTCCTATTAGTGTAGCTGCAGACTTCGTGGAATAATGTCATGTGGTGCTTTGATTCTTATGCCTTACCCTACAGTCCCATGAGCTAGCATTTGTTCCAGTTTTCTTTCTATTCAATCAGGGTCAGTTATTCTGACTTTCTACTAGCTAGCTGCCTCAGACTCTGGGGCACTGCACAAAGGTTAAAAAACTAAACTTTTAGCAGACAAAATGTTACATCAGAGGACTGGGCCAAAAGAAATCTCAGGAAGTTCAATAAGGACAAGTGTGAAGTTGTGCAGTTAGGATGGAAGAATCCCACGCACCAGGACAGGCTGGGGACCAACTGGTTAAGCAGCAGCTTTGCAGAAAAGGACCTGGGGGTTACAATGGACATTAAGATGGATATGAGTTAGCAGTGTGCCCTTGTTGCCAAAAAAGCTAACAGCATACTGGGCTGCAATGGTAAGAGTGTTGCCAGCAGATTGAGGGAAGTGATTATTCCACTCTGTTTGGCACTGGTGAGGCCACATCTGGAGTACTGTGTTCAGTTTTGGACCCCCCACTACAGAAAGGCTGTGGATAAGTCATAGAGTCCAGTGGAGGGCAACGAAAATGGTTAGAGGGCTGGGGCTTATGAGGAGAGGCTGAGGGAATTGAGTTTATTTACTCTGCAGAAGAGAAGATGGAGGGGGTATTTGACAGTAGCCTTCAACTACCCAAAGTGGGGTCCCAAAGAGGATGGAGCTGGACTGTTCTCAGTGGTGGCAAATGACAGAACAAAAAGCGATGTGCTCAAGTTGCAGCAAGGGAAGTTTAGGTTGGATATTAGGAAAAAACTTTCTCACTAGAAAGGTGGTGAAGCACTGGAATGGGTTACTTCAAGAGGTGGTGGTTTTTAAAGTCTGGCTTAACAAAGGATGATCTGGGATGATCTAGTTAGGTATGGTCCTGCTTTGAGCAAGGGGTTGGACTAGATGAGCTCCTGAAGCCCCTTCCAGCACTAATTTTCTTGATTCTATGATTCTGTGAAATCTCTGACATGCTTGTGGGATTCCTGTGTATTGGGAGTGTAACAAACAGCTCTAAAAATTGGGAAAAGAAAACAGTCTGCACACAGATGAGCTGTGCAGAGTCAGATGGCCAAGTTCTCAGCATATTTGTGCTTTATTTTTCAAATACAAAAAATGTCAGTTCAGTTAGCACTGGGAACCCCAAACCATGGTCTCTCTTAAATAAAAAGCTACCAGAGCCATGGGATGGTTTCTACCCAAGAGTCAAGAATGCGAGTGTTGTGTACATAGGTTGTGTATAGAGGGACACAATAGCATTGCTAATATCCATATCTTGAGACGTAAGGCACTGTGATGAGCACAGGGCTCACTAAACTCTTCTCTAAATAGGTGACTACATTATGTTGAAGATAATGAGAAAAAAATCTTCAGACGTCACAGACTCTTTTTGTGTCCAACGTGACACATACAGATGGTGCATTTCATGAGGTGCTGGAGTGCTCCACCCTTTCGTACTGACCATGTGTAAAGTCTCCTCTTCTCTTTCCAGATCTTCGCCTGGCTATGTTCCTTTTCAGTAACCTGCCACAAAATGACTAAGGTCATCCAGAAGTTGAGACTTACATTTCTTCCTCTCCAACCTCATAGTGATACCTTTTACAATCCTTTCTTTGGGTCCACACTGGACATCTTTCGAAGAGACATCCTGTAGCTCAACCAGACGTTACTGCTTACTATGGGATTTACTAGGTGAAATGCTATGGGAACAGATGGTCACTTCCAGTCTTAAAAATCTGTGTTAATTTGTATGGAAGGCAAAGTCCTTCCTCTCCTTAATACACTTCAGTTGAGACTATCAATGCACCCTAGTTCAATCTCAGTATCCAACGAAGCCCAGCTAAAAGAGCCTCTAGTGCTCAGATACAGCTACCTCTGCAATCCCAGTCCCTTTTAGCATCCCCTCAGTGCTGTTAATGTACCGCAGTCCTGGCCTGTGTTACCACTGCTACTGTAATGCTGTTTGAGAGTAAGCCAGTGAAAGTGTCCATTCTAGATGGGCTCTCCAAACTGAGTCAAGTGCAAATGAATAAATGGCATAATTAATCTTCCTCTCCACTAAGGAGCCAATTTAGAGTTTCACAGTTCTTTCATGGACATTTTGCAGATTTACTGCGAATCTGTGATTTTAGTAACACAGATCAGTCTTTCCTCAAATTAATAATTTAGGACCTGATCCTTACGAGATTTTCTCACACAGCCCCTACTTCATGGGCTGGGCCTGACCTGGAAAACCTCTCCATACTCAAAATCACCTCCTCAGGACAGTGTACATACCGTTTCCGTGAGAACTGCTGGTCTATCTCTTCTAGGGACTGTCCTTTTGTTTCCGGAACAAAAAAATAAATAAACACAACAGCTGCTACTCCCACCAATCCATAAAGAAGAAACATCCATGATAAGCCTATGGCATCTATAGAAACAGGTTCAAAAGAGGGAAAGGTTAATGAGACATGAGACCATTTTCATTGAATATGGATCTTAAGTGAATATCACTTCTGCTGCATGGGGGCTTTTATTTTTTGAAGCCCATAAAACAAGGCAAGGAAAAGCCATTCCTGTATACACACAAGGCCTAATATGTAAATCAGCTGTGGAGGAAGGCAACTCCCAGCTCTACAAATATGATGTATTTATATGCTGGGTTCTGCCTGCCAGGGCCACATAATTCCTAGAGCATGAATTAACCTCAGCTCCAGAGGCCATGCAGTACCTGATAAATTTCTCAGCCTGGAGCATCAGACAGCTCTGTCAGGAGTCCCAAAGCTCAGTGTTTTGCTGACTAAACCAGATCCTGCACCACAGTGTAAAATAATTCAGCAAAAACTATGGCTATTTTATGAGTATGCATAGAAGCTGCAAGGAACCACTTCACCAAGGGCAACGCTCAGCTTAGCTCCTAACAGCATGACCCTTTAGTCTCTTCTGGTAGATCTACGCTCTACATTTCATGATAGTTCAAGTCTTGCCTGATGTGGCAGAGTTCATAAGAAATGGGCTACATCCATTCTATTATTGCCTGACCGCCAGTGGCCAGAAATTACACCCAATCTCCACACCAGTGGCTAGTGAAGTGTGCTGGCAGGCTGCTTTTGAAAAGGCCAACAGCAAAAAAGGATGACATACCAATAAGATCAAGGAACGAGAGGCTAATCAGTAAATTAGCGGCCCAGTTAAAGCTGTTGCAGAAAGCAAAGGCTCTTCCTCTTATTCCAGCAGGGTAGATCTCACTGAGGACCAACCACGTCACTGCAAAGATTGGAGAAGAGAGAGAGAAACATGACAATTTATTTTAAATGACTTCTGTGGGATTGCAAGAAAGGCTGGACTCTGGTCCCAGGCAGCTGTTTGTATGACACGCATTTCATTGCAGAACGATAGTACTGACACAGTCCGGCAGCAGAGAGCTGTTCAGCATGAGCCAAAGAGCTTTACAGAGATGGCCAAACATTATGTTTAGGATTTTACAGATAAGGAAATTAAGATACAGGGAGCATAAATGATGCAATGACATATAGTCGCATGCGGTAGAGTTGTAAATAATCTCTCTCAATCACCTACAGACTGTGCTGCTTTCCACAGAGAACAGGACCTTTCAGTGTGGCTCTCGGGCAGTTTTTATAGAACCTTACTGGTTGCTGTCAAGGTTATGAAGCTTGACATGGACCTACCATGATTTTAATCTGATTTTTTTCAAATGCCTTTAGCTGTGATTTATTTATCCTCAAAGCAAAGCTTCCATGTTATTTAAAACAGAATAAATAAATGCCAGAGCTCCCAAGCAAGCCTACAATCACAAATCTGTATGCTTATCTGTCTACTGCATGAATATAATTTCAAGAAAGCAGCAGCTGCTACCATGAAGCTTTCACGAGGTTACTATATATAGCAGTAGGAAAAACCAACAGAAAAGATTCAATTTTAAATGATCCAGATACCTGAACAGGGCCTGTCATGCCCATACAAGGCAAGCTTCATGGTCTAAAATCAAAGGAATCTGGAATAAGGATGGAATGACTTGAGGCAATGGTATAGGATACTATATTTTCTTACATAAAACATGCATGATTTCCCTTAAAAACAGCTGCTAGAAATTTGGGTGCACATTATATATAAGAAATATGGTAAGAACCGGTTCTGCCCCTTACCAGGTAAAACTGACAGGAAATTCTGCAGCAAGCCACAGGGAGCACAACAATGAGCAGGGGCAGCTCCATAACTGTTACACAGTTTCTTCCTACAAGGAAAGATCTTTTTTCTTCATTATGCCTTTCAAAAACAAGGTGTGCACTATATTCTGGGATGTGTTGTATACAAGAAAATATCATATATAATTTTTCCTCTTTAGATCACTAGTTATGGTCCAATAGTTGCCAAAAACCACTGTCAGGGGACCACTGGTTGGTAACCTCTGTGAAATGAGTTGATAACCTCACTCCAGTTCCTGGTGAATCAGTGTCTATACCACAGCTGTCACTAACTGGCTAATTAGCCTCAATTCTGTTGGGAGAGATGCCTTGAGTGGTTGATAGGGCTGTAAAGATCTAGAAATCAAAGTCCAAGACTGTGCCAGGACACAGAAATACATGTTGGCCCTTCGCATTGTGCAGAGCAAATATTAAAGACTACATGAAGTCTCCGTGTGTCCTGCCTAAAGATGGACCTTTAGGCAGGACAAAGGACTGGGGATTGGACTGCATTGGACTGGGACCCAGGTGATAGAGAGTGAAAGAGATGAAGGCTGAGAGGCCCAGCAATGAAAAATGGAGGAACCTTCCCTGTTTCCTGCTCTGTCTTTTCCTTCCTGTGTTGCACAAGTCATTTAGTCCCTCTGTGCCTTGGTTCCCCATCTGTAATATGTAGTTACTAAAACTTCCATGTCCCCTGCATTTGTGAGAAGCTCAGATTCCACCATGACTGAATTCATCAAAACACTTCTAAATAAAATAGTTTAGGTCAGACGTAGTGTGTAGGGGATGCTATCACAAGTGTTGTAGGAGACTTTCAGTCTGCAGGGCTGGAAATCATTCTGGTGGGTTTGAATACAGGATATGTTTTTCAATTGCAGGATACTTTGTAAAGCAGGTGCGTAGCAAATGTTCCCAGAGTATTGTGAAGATCAATCTTAGTTTTATACTATGAGTTACTGCAGACCCAGGAGGTATAAACACTGTACTTACTTGGTCCAAATCCAATTGAGAATGCGCTTACAAAAGCCATCATGCTCAGCAGCGTAATCCAATTTAAAACCATATGTTCCCTAGAAAGACCATCACTGAAAGAAGGGCTAGTGTCTTGCACCATCTCTTTATTGGACTGGGTTAGCAGGTACTTTCTCTGAGTGTGGGAAGAATCTGTAATGATCTCTCTGCTTCTAGTATTAGCATAGGCTTTTGTTAGGCCTTCTGGTCCTGTAACAGCACGATGGGGACTCGTTCGACTTTTGCCAGCAGCTAAAGTCAGTGGAATATATGATGCAGCTGGCTGGAAGGATCCCGGATTTATGGCATGTTGTGCTATATTGTATGAAGCATTGGGGTCTCCATCAGTCTGACAGTCTCTGGCCATGTCTAGTGGAATGGTGTAGCTGGTGAGCCCAATGATGGTGACAGAGAAAGACATCACTATGCATCCAGCAATCAGTAACACTCTTCTGCCAGCCTTGTCTGCACAGGCCATTGCAATTAGTGTTGCAATCACTTTCATCACACCAAGCCCAACTGAAGCCAGGACAGCAGAAGAATTGCTCTGAAATCCCACTGAGCGGAAGATTTTGGAAGCATAGCACAGGACATTGGGCTGCCCAGTGAACTGCTGAAAGAGCACCAAGCCCAGGCCAACCAGAGTCCTGTTTCTCATGTTGTCTCGAGACCTAAAAAGATCAAGAAATGAATAAGGCTTTTCCTTATGTGATTCTAGTTTTGCTTCCTCCCCATCTTCATGTAATTGAATGAGGCCCTGCTGGGAGTCGCAGTCACCTGAGTTGAATTTAGTGGGGTTAACTGGGAGGAAGAGGATACTGAGAAACTGTACTACAGCAGGTGCAATAGCCAGTCCAAACATGTATCTCCATCCTTCAGCCATTTCTGAGAATATGTAGTTCAGTGCATATGAAGCTAAGATGCCCACCGTGATGCCAGCTTCGTAGAGAGACACCAGCAGCCCTCGCTGATGAGCAGCCACCATTTCTGAGACATATATACAGCATGCCATGGATGACACAGAAATGGAAAACCCTATGGTCATGCGTCCAAATACCAGCCACATAAATGACCCAGCCAGTGTCAGAATAAGGCTGCCACAAAACAAGACCAGGTTGCTAACCAGGATTGCTCTCCTCCTTCCATGATGGTCAATGAGGATGCCCCCAACCAAGGAGGCAAGGAGAGCCCCAGTGAGCATGGAGCTCACAAGGACTTCCTGTTTGAAGCAGCTAAGGTGGAAGTCCATCTGCAGCTGCAGTAAAGCACCAGAGATAATCCCCAGCTCATATCCGAATATCAGTCCACCCAGGAGAGACACTGTTGCAGACAGGAGGAGGACCAGCAATGTATGACCTAGAAAACAAGCAAACAATGATAGATTCATTTTTCTGGCCTCATAATTGAAAACAAATTAGTAACACAACTTGGAAAGAGCAGGTCTGATAAACTGGGACCCAAGTTTTCAGCATGCAAAACTGCGTGCTTAAACTGCCTAAAGAGTTACCCTAACCATATAGATATACATGTGATAGGCATACAACCAAGCAGGCATCTCGCTGGCTGTGTGTATGGAATTACAAATGTGAACATAATCATAATAATTGCACATGCAGTTTACTTACAGAAAAGGATCTAGTTGGGGATGGGGGTGAGCAGGGGGCTGGAGTAGATGTGACCTCTTGAGGTCCCTCCCAACCCTCATTTTCAATAATTCTATTGCAGCCATTTCTTGTCAGCTGGTTCTGAACACACAGGCCTACGATAACATAGTGGAGCCATGCATGATTTATAGAGGCGAATTCTTCATACCCTCTAAACTCTTCCTTCCTTGGTTCTAAATAGGCAAAAACTAGCCAGGGAATGCAGTTTTCTCCTTCTATATTTCACTGCAGTGTGTTATCAGTATGATGCTCTTGGTCTCTGTTTGCAGCTCAGATACATCTCTGTGTCTTCCTTTCACCATCCGGGAACTTCACAAGTAAATCATTGGTGGAGGGAAGTTACCATTAATAGGTGCTGAGTACAGTTTCACATGCCTGTTAACACTCATTGCACAGTTGGAAAGGAGCACTAGGGCCTATCCAGTGAGACCTTCTGCATCTCGGTACTCATCCTCACATTGCCTCTAACATTTTACTTAAACACTCCTTAATTCTCTGCACTGGCTATACTTACTTGGGGAAAATTTCTTCCACTCTTCAGTGCTCTCAATATTACATATTTTCCCTGAAGTCTAGCATAAGCTAGATAGCCTTGCTCTTTGCCCTACCATCTTTTGACTATTACAAGAAACAACACTAAGTTTAGTCCTAGACATATGTGATACTATAGCATCTCTTTTCTTGTTATTTTTATATCAGCATACTGATGCTTTAGACAGAATTATCCTGACTTAATTGCTTGCACTTTATTTATAGCTTCCTGTAGTGTTATAACACTTGTTTGCCTCATGTTCTGTTTTTGATCCACCCTGTAAGTTTGTGAACAGAGAGGGATGAGTAGTTGAGTTAATAAGTGGACCAGATATTAGACTTGATCTTATGACCCTTTTCTTTTTGCTGACTGTCTCCATTTTAGGCTGTCTTACCAATACTAATAACTGAGCTAAACATATTCCCCTTATCTTCTCTTCACTAGATAAATGTTATCAAATAATCCAGCTCCTGTTGATTGTGTAATTATGTGGACAGGTAAATTGCTGTATAAGTGTGGATTACTTTTAAACTGCAGCATAGTTGTGCTCCAGGTACTAAACTCTCTGTAA